GTCCCACTGGACATTCCTACACGTTACAATTATTCAATGATTGTCATTACACAATAGGCAATTCCAGCTTTTAATTTATGCATGCGGGGGGTTATGAGAAGTAAGATATCATATTGCAGAGTATGCTGAAAAATTTCAATAAAAACTGCCGAAACAACCGAAATATTTCAATATTTACAAGTATAAGCTATCATTCCGTGTTTACACGGCGGTCATTTTTATTTTTTCAGCATAATCAGCAATATGATACCTTACTTCCCATCCTCCCCTGCGCGCATAAATTAAAAGCTCGAATTGCCTATTCCTCTACATTTTGTTTGTGCCAAAATGTCTCGCATGTTGATTTGATGACAAAATATTTTGGAAAATATTTTGGATCATAAAAAAGAATTTTGGATTTTGACCAACAAATGTGGAAAAAAGCTTAAGTGTTTAAGTGACATTTATTGATCAAAATTCTTTTTTATGCATGTGTTGAAGAAGGATGTTCTGCTTCTCTGACCATAGCCCGTGAGAAACAAGCTTAAATCCATTCCATTTAAGGTGGTCCTAAGTTGAAAACAGTTTTAGTCGTGACGTAATTACCGGAAAGGTCTATTTACATACGAATGGACTGCACTCACTCATGATCTAATACTCAAATAGACTACACTCAGTTTGTATTGTTAATACCATATATGGATTTCTTAATAGGTTCGAATATAGGCTAGCATTAAATGATTGATATTTCATAGTATGAACAATGCAATAACATCTGTCTGTGAATTGTCGCGAGGAACGGCGTTTTGAATAAGACTAGATATTTCTCCAACATGGAGTTTCTGTAAAGCATTATTAAAAACAAGTGCTTTCTCAAAATCAAGAAACGGGCCAAACAGCCACAGTATTGAAGAAACGTTGACTGATAAATGGCCAGCAATTTATATGTAGCGCATGCACTCTGAATTTAAAAAACCCAGTTATAACCGGCTATAACCAGTTCTATTTATGCAAGCTTCGGATGATTGGTAGATCAAAGAAAGTGGAGAAAATTAACAGATGTTTTCTTCTCTTCTCTAAAACCTCTGTTCGCTTTGTGCTCAAAGTATTATTGTATAGCTGGTCGCGTAATTTTCAAAACGGGTGTAAAGTCAGATTGATAAAAAAAAGCTGTATTAAAAGTTTTCGCTCAGTCATCGATTATTGACGTATTTTTGATAAATTTCAGCGTAAGACGGTAGGATTTCTCTTAGTGCAATTGTGTAGTTGATAATGAATACTGACATGGCTTAGAGACTTTATAAAATACATTCTGATCTATTGTTTCAAGATTTTGGCCTTTGGGCCGAAAACGGAACTGTTTTACACAGAAGTAATTGCAGGACGTGCATTCCAAAGGTATGAATGAGTTCATATATTTAAGTAGGAAAGGAGTTGTTAATTTGTTTTGCAAGAGGTTATGTTTTCATCCGCATTTGTAAAGCCTGTTGCAAGACAAGCAAGTTTTCATATGGCAAGTTTTCTTTGTCAAGTTTTCATATGGCAAGTTTTCTTTGTATTTAGAAGCACTATAACATTCTGAGTTATTTGGTCTACATATCTTTCAAAATTTGCTCTTATTGCCTGTTTCACTGAGTTAACTTTCAAAAACTAAAAAATCGCGTCGCGCTGTCGAATCGCGTCCGGTGTGTCTGGACCTTTAAGCCTAGTTCTCATTCATCGTAAACCGTCGGCGACGGGAGCTTTGCGACGTCGGCGACGGCTTGCGATTTATGAGAACGCATCAAAAATTATATCGCCGATTGTCCGTAATCGTCGCCGACCATCGGCGATGACATCGCAGGAAACAAAAAAGTTTGTTTCTTGCGACCATCGCCGACTGCCATCTGCTTGAAAAATCTATGAGAAATGAGTAAAAGTTGTTTTTTCCTCAACAAGCAAGGAAATAATCAACTGAAGTTTGACAGAAATCATGAACTTTACGTTGAATGGGGCAATTTTGTGCCTTGGTGGGAAATTTCGAAACACATTGGCTGTCATCTGCGACGATCACCGGGATGTATGAGAACTTTCGTGCATTCGCGCTCGGCGAGTATCGGCGATAAGCGTCGCCGATCGTCGGTGACAGTTTGCGATGAATGAGAACTAGGCTTTACAACAATAGATCGCCGACCAACCGCATGCAATTAGTGCTCAAATTTAAATTACTTGGCGAAATTCTCTTTGTTTGACTCATACAGACCAACAAAATTTGTACTTTGGCAATTTTTTCTATGACAAGTGCACTTGTTCAAAAGCTAGTCTGCTAGAAAAATTGGTAAAGTTGCCTATATATATACAAATGTGCGAATAAAACTTGTCATAATAATAATTTATTCAAACAAAGCCCCAATATTGGAACATCTAACTATACATGGGTAAATAACTAAATAAGTCATTACAATCCATAGCAGTAACATAAATACTACTATAATATATAAATATATATGAACGAGGTTGATAAATATAAATACACATACATACACACACACACGCACACGTAAGTAATCAGACAAGGCTATCAAAAGTAGCTAAAACGTCGAAACAATATTTGCCTACTATCTTCATTATTGACTTATCGGCCTTCATAACCATAATATATATAGATAGGTTTTCCGAAGTAAATAAGTTGAAAAACTTATTTATTTTATATAAATTATATCAATGAATTTTGTCCTGAGGTCGATGAACTTCATGTTTGTACAACACATTAAAAAATTATGTTCATCTCCTACTTCGTTTAACTCACAAAGTCTGCATAGTCTATCATTGTATGGGACATTGTTGTATCAACCAGTTTCAACAGTTAGCTTATGTGCTGATATTCTTAATTTTGTAATAGCTTGACGATATTTGAAATTGCTAATTTCATTTAGCTACAGTCGTGCCAATTGAAGCGTTCCGAAAAATGTTGACCAGTTCATTTCCTAACTTGAAGGAACACCTCTGAACAATTCCTCAACAATTTGATAAGTTCCTTAAAAAGTTCCTAACTTCCTGTTTCATTGACCAATCAAATTTTATATTTTATTTTTGAGCAAAATATTCTTTTATTTTTCTAAAAGTTCTTAGCTTATAAAAGTTCTTAGTTCTATTTTTCTAAAAGTTCTTGTCATATGAAAATTTGTCATAGAAACCTTGTCTGCATGCATGTAACTGGCTGATATGTCAATTTTGGTTAAATTTGGATGAGAAATTAGCGAAAGTTTGTCTTGCTTTGCCCATTGTATAATTTATGCATGACATCAAATAATTAATTCGCTGGCGGAAGTACGTACATTGCAGTCCCCGCGTGCCCACTTGTCAAATATGTTTAAAGTCTGGTTTCCATATATGGTCGTAAAGATTGAGTCACGATCTTTCTCATCAGCCGAAATACAACATTTTAGAAATGAAAATACGCGGAGTGATTAGAACTACAGAATACTTATGATTTATATGTGGTTTACAGGTATATACTATTATAAACTGGCCGTTGAGAAAGATCGTGACTCTACTTTTACGACCATATGGAAGCCAGGCTTAAGTAGACAATGAGGTCAAGTTGAAAAGAGACGCGGAAGGCTAAAAACTATTTTTAGCCTTCCACGTTTTTTGTCAACTTGACCTCATTGTCTACTTAATCCTGGCTTCCATATGGTCGTAAAAATAAGGTTAGTAATATATATATTTAGTATAACTACATAGGTGATTATTGAAAATTCTCCACGCTGATTGGTTACCGTTGAGGTGATTATTACGCGATAGTCACCTAAGCGATTTTCAAAATGGCGCCCGAAGCCGTTTTGTCAATTAAAAGACGAAGAAATGTGCATTTTAAAATATTTTTCCAAATAATCACCTATGAAATTATACTAAAACAATTGTTCACCTCAGGCTCGGTGATTATCGTGAATTTTAGGTATTAATAAATCGCTCTGTTTTGAAATATTTTGCATTCTATCCTTGATAATGAATACTGATGGATTAGAGACTTTATAAAAAACATGGGCCGAAAACGAAACTGTTTTACACAGAAGTAATTGGACGTGCATTCCAAAGGTTACTTGCGTTACAGCGTTACTTGCGTGATAAATTTTTGCCCTACTTTTAAGTTTAACTTTTATGTACTGTTTAATAAACGAGCAGCAGTGTTTTATTAGGTTCAAAGCCATGAGCGCGCAGCGCGAGTGGCTTTAGACCTAATCAAACACGTCCTGCGAGTTTATTAAACGGCTTCATGCAAACACGACCGACAAATAGATATACTGCCTTGTTAATATTCTTTTTATAAAGAATACTAATGAGGACACGACTACAATAGATACTGCCTATTAGTATTCTAATTTAATAGAATACTAATTTAATAGGAGTGTTTTATCAGGTTTAAAGCCACTGCACGTGATGATTATGGTTGACATTATTTGCCAATACGCTTATGAATTATTAGTGAGTGTTTGAAATAAAGATATTTAACATGCGTTTTGCTCAATATTCGATTTTGAATATTATATTTACGTTAAAATGTCTTTTGTTTACTTCTGCTAGTACCTATATGTACATGACTACATCTCATGAAATTGACAATTCAATCTTGTCGCCAGCCGTTGATTGGCCAGAATATACTATTACCACTGATCAGAAAATATAGAACCTGGACAGAGCTTGTATACACTGATCACACCACCTGGGCATCTGACAAAACCCTGTTCACTTATTGGCCAAAAATAGATCACACCATCGCCACTTGCATGCAGGCCACAGTGTTTGCATGACAGCTCACTATTAATAATTTTTCTTTTTCACTGCTGTTCAGTTAAAATTGTTACAATACGCCTACTACTATACAGTTGTGGCCAAGTTTTCATGAATATTAATCAGTTTCTCATTTTCATTAGCGTCGGTACATGAAAACTTACATCTTTCAAAGAAATGTTTACTGAATACTGTACCAACTGTTATTCCATCTGACCGGCGCGTTGTAACATCGCCTTACTAGCAACGATTAGCTCAGCGCTAACCACAAAAAAAACAACTAAATAAATAAAAAAAAAAAATAAATAAAAAAAAAAAATTGTGTCCCTGAAGTAATGCTAACCGGTACCCTTGGAGCACGAGTGTACAGCCACAGGAGATTCTGAGGACTATTTTGCTCCAGGAAGAGAATTAATATTTTTAAGGTCTGTATTACGTGGAAATGAATTAAGGCGGAACATATTTGAGAATGGCTGCATTGTATAGCAGTAATTTACATAAATTGTGTTCCTGTGTGTGTGTGAAGCTTGCTCTCAGACTCAGTATACACTTGAATTGAAATAAATGCATTCATTTGATCAAAAATAGGATTTGTAAAACCTGGTTTCCATATAATATTATATTTGCTAATGATAATTATATATGTAAACGTATTGAATTTTTTAAATTACAGCGGATTACAAAAAGCCAAAAAAGGAAGATGTTTAGAATAATCTTTATTTTGACCTGCCTTCTTGGCTTGGCACCTTCATTCACACAAGGTATGGTAGTTTGCATGAGGGTATACAAATAAATCCCTGGTTTATGAATTTTCATTTCCTGGTCAAACGAGAAACAGAGTTGCATGACAGTTGATAGTTGCCGCAATAACTCTTGTCGACTCTCATCCAACTACTCATCCAACTACTCGTCCAACTACTCATCCAACTATAGCTACCTGAAATTAGTTGTTAAGTTGATAAGAGTGCTCGAGAATTGATGATAGTTCGCGCTGAGATGCGAGTGATTGTTGAAACTCTCATTAAATCTCGTCTTCTTTCAAACGAAAACACCAATAACACTGATTCATGAGACCGGAATGAAAATCGAAATTTTCAGTATGTTCACAGGAGACCGATATGAATATCACAAATCTTTCAATTTACTCCCCTCGCCCCCAATTTTCCTTTTTGCAGTACTTTTGTGAGCATGCAAGAGCACAGCCGAGACTGGTCTGAAATGTATTTGTGTTTACATACATCCCCCTCCAAATTCATCTCGGTCTGAAGATAGTCGGTTCGGTCCAAGCATACATGTCCAATACTCTCGACATGATACGGATCGTGAAGTAGCTTCACGATCCGTCAAATTCGTACGGACGGTAAACACGACTCACGATCCGTATCCGAACTCGTAAACGCAATAGGTGGTCTCCAATAGCAGATGCTTGTTGCCCAGATCTACCAACAGCCGTTCGACGGATCGTACCGTTCGTACGGCTCGTAAGACGATTCACGATCCGACAAATCCGTACGGTCCGTACGAACTGTGAAATGGCTTTACAGACCGTACGAAGCGTACGGTTCGTGAAAATGATTTACAGATCGTGAACCTATAATAACTTCAAACATTATAATATGCTGTTTGCTATATCAATATAATATATTGCTCCGTTCTTAAGAAACCACGCATGCTTATACTGTATGTATGTATGTATGTATTTAATTTCTTTAGAGACGCTATCCTCATCAGCTATACGGCTGGTTTTCATGAGGGGCGTCTATTTAGCTATTTACAAGTATATAAAAATAAAGAAAAAACTAATCAACCCACAGACCCAAAGAGAATAATACCCAGAACATAATGTGTAGTTACAAATGGAATAGCATTTAAAAGCAAGATTCAAATAAGTCTTTTGAAACAATGAATCGAATGAGCAGATTTAGCCTCAGCAGAAAGACTATTCCACAGTACAGCTCCACTATACCTAAAGCTTCTTTTAAGAAATTCTTTCTTAGGTTTTGGAAGTGAGAGATCTGTATCATAATTTCTGAGATGATAGTCATTATCATTATTGCTTCGTGCAGAAAAGAATTCTCGAAGACAGGGGGCAGTACTATTATTAAGAATGTTGTATACCAGAACCACTTTATTAAATCTAAATCGGTTTTCAAGATTTTTCCAGTTAAGCCGTTCAAGGAGCTCAGAGGAGTTGGTATCATAACTTGCTCCCGTCAACACCCTTGCAGCTCTATTTTGGAATCTCTGTAGTTTTTCTTTTAGTACAATTCCGCAATTATCCCACAAAGGGGAGCAATAATCAAAGTATGGCAGAATTAACGCCTTATAGATGATGTGCATGCAGGGATTCATTGGGGACGAATGGTTTTGTTCGTTTTAAAACTCCTATCCCTGCACCAACCTTTTTACAGATTGCATTAATGTGAACTTCCCAACTAAGGTGTTCATCCAACTCAACTCCTAAACATTTAAAATATCTGTACCGTTTTAATGGTTTATTCTTAAAGGTCACTAATTTATCTCCAATTTTATTTTTGATATTGTACCAGGAGCCTATGAACATTAGCTTAGTTTTAGTAGTATGGTGTTGTAGTTTGTTATCCGAGAGCCATCTACTAATATTTTTCAAATCAGAATTTAATAGTTCCACCAGTTCATCATAATTATCAGACGAGGCAAATATCTGCGTATCATCAGCATATGAACCCGGAGTTGTAAATTTTAAATATTGCGGCAAATCATTAATATATAATAAAAACATCAAAGGACCGAGAATGGATCCCTGCGGCACACCACTTTCTATGGATTTCCAAGAAGATATATGGTCATTTATACACAGCAAACTTGCTGACGATCAGTCAAGTAAGAGGTAAACCAATTCAATTCATTTTCACGAATACCAAACTGGTCTTTCATTTTTGACATTAAAATTTGATGGTTAATTGAATCAAATGCTTTCTTGATATCCAGAGAAACAAGACCAGTTATTTTACCCTCATCCATATTTTTTAGCCATTCATCGCACATCTGGAGAAGTAAGGTTAGAGATGAATGTTTAGGTCGAAATCCAGATTGAAACTTTGAAATTAGTGAGTTTGCAGATAAATAACTATATAATTGCTGAAAAATGTCTTTTTCAAAGATTTTACTTACAACTGGGAGAATAGAAATTGGACGGTAATTCTCACATTTGCTTCTATCCTCAGATTTATAAATCGGTTTCACACGTGCTAATTTCCATTCATTGACAAATATGCCAGTATGTAGTGATTGGTTAAAGATTGGAGTGTATCTAAAAGTCGAGAGTCGAGAGTAAAAGTCGAGAGTCGAGAGTAAAAGTCGAGAGTCGAGAGTAAAAGTCGAGAGTCGAGAGTAAAAAGTCGAGAGTAAAAAGTCGAGAGTAAAAAGTCGAGAGTCGATCGAGAGTAAAAAGTCGAGAGTCGGCAAATGTCATCAGAAACAACAAAGTCAAAATATTTTTAACCACGTTTAACACAATCTATATATAGCTTTACATAGCCATTCCGTAACAAGTAGCAACGGCTGAAATACAAATAATATCGCATTTGATGCCTCAATCTTGCTAAGTGTTTTCACATGTCATTTCATTCTGACACATAAACTCCGCTGAATTTTGACAGCCATCTCCAGGCTTGTAACTAAAATGAGGGTCCTGAAGGGGGGGGGGTCGTATTCCCATTTCCCAGCCCAAATTTTGACTAAATCCCTATGGGCGTACCGGGCGGGGGGGGGGAGCCCCCCCCCAGTTTGTTGGACAAACAAAGCCAGTCGGGCAATATTCGCTTCACAGTCGGGCAACAACGCGGGCACAATCCGAAAAAGTGGGGCAAATTTTTTCCGCCCCCCCCCCTAATTTTTTCCTTCCCGTACGCCCATTTAATCCCATTGTCCCATAGCACAAATCCCATCATCTCAGTGGCTGCCCTGCTCAAATCTTGATCCCATTCCCATTTTCTATTGTTTTTTTGCTGATGAATCCCAGTCCCAGTGCATGAAATCCCATTTTCCCACCCAAAAATAAGCAAATCCCAGTTCCCATTTTACCCCTTCAGGACCCTCTAAAATGTCAGTCACAGTATTCATTAACGTACGTTTATATCAAACGAGAGCGTATTAAGAAATCCACGTTGATCACAATCGATCTAACGATTCATACAATTGCGAATTCATAAATACGAGCCAGTAAAAATAGGATTGTTTTGTCGTATGTGTGACTCATCGGGTGGTCATATGTCTCGCACGTGATTGTAAAGTCCTAGTATTTATATGTAGCTTCACATATGAGTAATTTTTCGCGGAAATAGTTGCATGTGAAAGCGGGAAGGATGGACAGTAATATATAAGGAAGCGATAAAACTAGTTATTAGATAATAGTCATTATTATTGAATGTTGTGGCTAAATGTTTGCGAAAGTTTTTGTTTTATATTATACTGGATTATTCATTTGATTGTATATGCCTCTTGTTTACTTTAATTTCGAGAATTTGAGCATACTAATTATGTTTCTCAAATATTGTTTGCTTTATGTTCCGATATAGGAAATGAAATTAGTTCAGCCGTCATAAGCGTACGAACGGGAAAAAATCAGGGAGCCAGAAAGAAAATTTACCCGACTTTTACCCACTGAATAAAATTTTCCGTGTAACTAAATTTCCAAAATTGTCGTTGGAAAGTAGACAAAAATATTTTCCTATTTGTCGATTCCTCGTTACTTTTACATATTTCTGTCTGGTATTTTCAATTATAAAATAACATGTACATAACGCGTATTCTGATTGGTCGAAAGCCGTGTTTGGATAAGGCCATCCAAACACGGAAGACTATCGTGTTGTTGTTATTTTATAAAACAATTACTTTATGGTTTCCCTGTTTGGATGGAATGATCCAAACACTTGGGAATGTTGCTCGAGTTAAGAAAAGCGGGCAAAATCACTCGCCTTCGGCTCGTGATTTCGCTCGCTTTTCTTAACCCTCGCAACATTCCCGCGTGTTTGGATCAGGCCATCCAAACACGGAAACCATAAAATAATTGTATAATACCATATTGCATGTACTGTCTTCTTTTTAAATTTATTTCCCCCCATTTTTGCCCGAATTTATACGTTTATAATTTGCATGACTTTATTTTGACTGGGGGGCGGGACTGCCTCCCCCCCCCGTCCATACGGCTATAATCAGCTGTTGTTACGGATCGGTTAATATATAATGTGTTAAAAATATTTTGACTTTGTTGTTTCTGATGACAATTTTGCCGACTCTCGACTTTTCAGTTACTCTCGATCGACTCTCGACTTTTTACTCTCGACTCTCGACTTTTACTCTCGACTCTCGACTTTTACTCTCGACTCTCGACTTTTACTCTCGACTCTCGACTTTTACTCTCGACCCTCGACTTTTAGATACACTCTAAAGATTGTTGTCAGAGATGGTGCAACTGTATCAATATAATATAATATTATGTCTTTTCTCCGTTCTAAAAAAACCACGCAATATATCAATATCAGTAATATTGTTGCTCCGTTCTTAAGAAACCACGCAAACAATATCAGTAATATATATTGTTGCTCCGTTCTTAAAGAAACCACGCGATTTACCTGTATAATATGCTGTTGCTCCGTTCTTAAAGAAACCGCACAATTTATCAGTATACTATACTGTTTGCTATATCAATATCATATGTTGTTGCTCCGTTCTTAAGAAACCACGCATATACTGTATCAATATAATATGTTGTTTCTCCGTTCTATAAAAACCACGCAATATATCAATATATCAGTAATATTGTTGCTCCGTTCTTAAGAAACCACGCAAACAATATCAGTAATATATATTGTTGCTCCGTTCTTAAAGAAACCACGCGATTTACCTGTATAATATGTTGTTGCTCCGTTCTTAAAGAAACCGCACAATTCATCAGTATAATATGCTATTGCTCCGTTTTTAAGAAACCACGCAATATATAAACATAATATGTTGTTGCTCCGTTCTTAAGAAACCATGCAATACAGGGTGTATCAAAATACCTGCAAACACTATATAATTTGCATAATTCTACTGCTTACTAGCATTTCAATGTACAGCTAGGGTGAGTAAAAAAACTGACACCTTTGTTATTCAAACTATAGCTCAAATTAGCCGCGAAGGCATAAATTTTTTTACTCACTCTGTATGTGACCATGTGCTACTTATTTTGCTCCTGCATGAGATTCTAACTTAATTTACCGCGTTGATAGAAATTACTATACGTACGCTTGGGATTAAATAGTTCTGAATCACGCAAATTCTAAAAACATTGTATTTCAATGGGTTAGTTAGCATGTTTTTTGATACACCCTATATATCAATATAACACCTTCTCTTATATACTGCTCTAATTAAGCACAGCGGTGAGAATATACGAGATTTCGACAAACAATTTTTATCGGACTCATAATTATTTGCTCAATTGTTCTCTACAGGGTGCGTAAAAAAAGATAATCCAACTTCAGCGCGCTATGCACCTGAATCACTCTGCATATGAACGAGATTCGTATTCGGAACGCCCATGAAATGCGCGCAATTTACCAATTTGACAGCCTACCTATGTAAGCATATTAACTCTTCAATACATGCATGTCAAGTTGTGTTTCCCCATGTATAACACTTACTGAAACCCACTATAACCAGGGCATTTATTAACTATATAAACTCTTGTGTCAGAAAGTTGTCCCATCTTTTTCTGTCAGGTTATGAAGATGTCCCATCTTTTCTTAACCAGTGGAAGCTTAAAACTGGAGTCTTATACTATTCTTTGCCCCACAACGCAGGCGCGGGCGTAAATTCCGTAAACTTTTATGCCCTGACTTAAACACAACATCGCCATCGACAAAGTAGGTTCACGATCCGTAAATCATCTTCACGAACCGTACGGATCGTACGGTCCGTAAAGTCATTTCACAGTTCGTACGGACCGTACGGATTGTGTTCAATGTTTTACCATCTTTACGATCCGTATACGTTCGACAGTATTGGACAACCATCGGTCCAAGTGAACAGGATGACTTCAGAACGGTCTGAGCAATTTTCGCCCAGGTCTCATGAAAACATCTATTATAAATACAGTAATATCGTCTGGAGTTAATACTAGTTAAGGGCCTTCGCTCGAAACGTCGAAATTCTCCTTATATATTTCAGGTAGTTGCATCCCCTACCAACGAAAGCTTGTTAATATTATTGGCACTACCTACACTGACACAGACAGTTCGGGATTATAAATAATACTCTGACCGAAATGAAATCGTCCCGGATTGACTTGCCCCCGGTCTCATGTAACAAACTTAAGTTACAAAATTAGTCTAACATGCAAGTTGTCTATTGAAGTGAGTGGATCGAGTGCAATTTGGACTGAAATCAAACTTGTGATTACAAAATCGCACGACCGCGATGCGGGAGTGCGATTTGTAATCACAAGTTTGATTTCAGTCCAAAATTACACACCTCCGGTATTTATAAAGAATAAGAAACAACACAAGTAAGTTTAACCATATTGTAGGTTTTACGAGTGATTTTGAAAGAGTTTTGGTGCAGTTTTGGTGCGTTTAAAATTGGAAATACGATAGGCGAATTTACCTTTGTTGACGCTTTAAATTTGCTTTTGTTGGAGTCTTGACCATATTTGATAGATTATGTTCTTAATTTGCCTGTTAATATATTTGTGAAATTTGAAAATTCTTTGCAATTCTTTGATAGTTTACTGTAGCTATCCATATGTGTTTGCTTTTATGTGCAAAAAATTGCTTAAATTATTCGTGACATTTGTAATTTTTTTGTTTTTACTCATTTGCCATATCACATTTTTCTTAAAATTGATTGGCTGTTTGAATCCTATGATTAAATATATGATTGGTTGGCTGAAGTCAGCACTCTAATGTGATTGGTTGAAAAGAAGGTGCGATTTCAGCACGAATCGCAGTCCTGTGAACCAATCAGATTGCAGGAAACACCATTGATTTCAAAATGAATATAATAAATATAGTAATATAAATCAAATATAAATAATATTAATCAGTAGTGTACATGCCATGCTCTAATGTTTGCAGGTTATAAATGGCTAAGTGGCAGTTATGGTCTCCCTAGACCTAAATCAGGATGTCCAGGTGGTAAGAAGAATGGATGGCGTGAGGGCTGGAGGTTTCAGGATATGGACGACCATGCATATAAGAGTACCAGTGAGCGGTCAAGAGTATCTAGTGGGTCACATATGGATGTCACATTAATTGGAGATAAAAAAGATGTAAGAAGGAAATTCTGCATGAAACAAAATACTGGAACACAAACAAGGTTTTGGCCTAAAGGTAAGGTTCTCTATATGCATAGTGAAACTTTCCGACCACCGTGGGCGGTGATTTTATCAAATCACAATTCTTATGCTAAGTGTCCTTTACAGAATACTAAAGCCTCAAAATATTCACTGCAGTCGTTACTGTAAAAAAATGGAACCTCCAGCCCTCATGTCACCAGAATGATGCATCATGTCATTTCTCATGCCTTCAGAATAATTTTATAATAATATCTTCATTCCTCATGCCATTAGAATGATTTTTTTAAATCAAAATGAATTCGTCATGTTGTATACGTTTTTTGAATGATTTCCCCCGGAAAATGTATTTTTGTTTTGACAGGTTCATATTGTATTTACAAGAGTGGAACGTGTCCGAAAGATATGGAATCAGGCTGGGTGTTCTGGGATGATACAGATTCTAACAACAATAATGATGACGGAGGATTTCTACCAGATGGTGTATATGATAAAGAAACGAAGATAGAGTATTGTTGTCAAACTGATGGTAACTGGTATGATTCAATTGAACTGCCAGTCAGTCAACCATTTTATTTATTATCATCTAGCTCTACTGACACTCCTAAATGTCAGATGGTGAAGTGGGCACTTAGTTACTTGGAGTATATTGTGTTTGATACAGAAGATAGCAACAATAGAGATAACCAGGGAGGGGAACATTTGTTTTTGGATGGAGACAAGAAATACTATTGTTACTATGAAGGTACGTTAATATAACTCAGTTCGTAGTACCAACTGAACATTTAAATAACGCTTTCTACAATCAGGAACAAAATTGCATTTGAAAAAATGTATACCTCATGTACGGTAGCTAAGGATGGAAGATTTAAACATCAGTTCAAAGTATCCAACTGTTTAATAATCTTTTATGACATATGCTTAAACACTGTCTGAACTGATTGTGCATGCATTTTTGGGCAGAGCTCATATTGAAGGCTGATAATTGTCTATTATTATATGGCTTTTGAAAATTCTTTATTCTGATTGGTTGACAAGCGGTCCGTAAAAACCCATATCCGGACCGTGGTCCGTATTTTCCGTATCTGGACCGGTGTCCCAGATGTCGTTTATCTGGCGGGAAATTTTTGTTTGCAAACAGAAAAAATTTTTGCTTTTTAAATTTCCAATTGTGCTTTACAGATAAAAATTTCAAACAACCAAATTGTTTTTGATTGAGCATGCATGCCTACCGTATATTGTTACCCAGTGAAACTGACGATAGCCGATTTAATTCGCGCGAAAAGCATATGCTCACAGACTCAGTTCAGCCATATAATAAACCAATTATTGACCTCGCTTGTTCAGTCTGTACTGTGAAATATCAGACCTCTGTTTTTCGCATGGACCTCGCTCCTTCGTCGCTCGGTCCATACTAAAACACCTCGGTCTGATATTTCACAGTACAGACCTCACGCTCGGCCAATAACCCTTTAGTATCAACCCAGGTTATTAATTTCATAATTAGTAAGAGATTATTTCATAATTCCATAAGAAATTATTTCATAATTCCATAAATACTGCCTACCCTAAATTTTAGCTTTGATTTTTAAGATTCTTTAATTCTATTTCAGACTGCCGCCGTACAATGACTAGTCCTAGTGGTTCATTTAGATCACATAAGGCTGCAGTTAGTGCGATGGATCCACGCTCGCAATATTGTTCCTGGTTAATTACGCTTGCTGAAACATACAACGTGTCATTGAGCTTTAAAGAGCTGACCATACCAAGTTGTAAAGATACATTTCTAAGAATATATGATGGTTCAAATAATACAGCTCCATTGCTTGGCACATATTGCGGTTCAAATGCAAGCACAGAAATCGTGGTTTCATCATCCACAAATAGTTTATACATCGTGTCAAATTGTGGAATTTATGGACGAAATCGTAAAAATACTTTTACCTTTCATGCACAATATAATGTTGAGAATTCGATAGGTTGGTATAGTTGTATTTGTAATAAATTGATAATTCTTTCGTTATTAACTTGGCCGTATACCAGATAATGATATTATTCGGATTCTGGATCTTGACTCGTGGATTCCAGGTCCTGAATGGTAGATTCTGCATCATGACAATGGATGGCGAATTCCATCCTCATAAAAGTCAATGTATTCCCTTATCCGGATTCTGGACTCTATTAACAAACTGGATTCCAGGTCGCACTGTGTGGATTCTGGATTCAGTGCTCTGGATTCCAGAGTCCGAAGCGCAAATTTGGATAACGGGTTCGTTACATACCGAGTGATATTATCTCACCATCCATTTCCAGTAGGTAAACCGATATATATAGTAGGTGGGTAGTAGATTTTTGACTAAATAGAGTAGTGAAACTGCGGTCGTTGCTCATCCTTTAGAGTTTAGTTGATGCCAGGTCTAAGTCATAACGTTTGTTTGCGCTTTTAGAAATTCAACCTAGTAAACTGCCTTCGGTGGGTAATAATGGAAGTTCTGTTTCTAAGGCCCCGTTTACATGAGACCGGGACGAAGTCAAACCGGAATGAAAATTGAAATTGTCAACATGTTTACACGAGACCGGTACAAAAATCACAAAATTTTCAATTTATTCCCCCTTGCCAGGCAATCTTCTTTTTTAGATAGCTTTTGTTAGCATGTGTTGTTGTTCCAATGTCAAGGTTACAGCCGAGACCGGTCTGAAATGCATTTGTGTTTACTTTCATCTCGGTCTGAATTCATGCCGTTCTGAAGTCAGTCGGCTCGGTCCAGCAGGCCGAATGACTTGACACCTGTCTGAGTTATTTTTTCATCCCAGTCTCATGTAAACATCTATTATAAATAATATTATGGCCGAAACGAAATGGTCCCGGTTTGACTTCGTTCCGGTTCGAACGGTGACACTGACATCTACAATTTCTACTGCACCTGCCATTCTGGCGTGTCTCGGCCTTAAAAGTTCTAGCCCAAAGAAGTAGGTTTCCATTCTTGACGAAATAGAGTAGAGAATATGCCTTAAATAGTTTTGGAAGGTATTGTGTGTTTGTTAGCAGGGTCGCGTTAATTTAGTTGTCTTAACATTTTGAGTTGGTTAATTGAAATAACTCTAATGTTTTCTTATCTTTATTCAGTCAAGGAAAAAACAGACAGCAGAATCATTATCATAGCAACAACAGTGGGTGGCTTTGTATTTCTTTGCATCGTGCTTATTGTCTTTTTGATAAAATACAAACGACAAAAGCGGGCTCGAAAATTATTAACTCCTGTCAATATTCCACTGGCAGACGCAACTCCACAACAATCATTGCCAATTGATCAGGTAAATTACTTACGAATGTTTAATTTAGAACTGATAGAGCTATCCAGTATAAATAAAGTTAGTTTAGTTTAGGTTTCCTCCTGTAGTAACACTGGATCAATAAGAGATGATCCTTACTGGACTTCTGGGGAGAACAGTTTAGAACTGATAGAACCGTCCAGTATAAATTAAGTTAGTTTAGTTTAGGTTTCCTCTTGTAGTAACACTAGATCAATAAAAGATGATGGAACTATAGAACTGATAGAACTATCCAGTATAAATATAAGTTGGTTCAGTTTAGGTTTCCTCCTGCAGTAAGTTAGTAACACTGGATCAATAAGAGCAGGCTTTCTTGCCATCCTACTTTTCCTACTTTTTCCTACTTTTCTTCAACTTTCCTACTTTTCCTTCCTTTCCTATTTTTTATTAAAAATTGCTTGATTTTCCTACTTTTTCTCATAAAATCCTACTTTTTAAGACAGCTTGGGAAATCAGTATGTTATAGCTCTCGTAATTAGATCTGTAGGACTCGTAATTTTTATTTCCTCTCTGTGTCCCAGATGATAAGATCTCAGGAAGAGAAGAAGTACATTTTTCGAGAATAAAATTCCATAGCATTTATAGAATCATTATCAGTAAATTAATGAAGGCTCTGAAAGTGCCATTTCCGACGATCTAGAGATTCCAAATACTCAACCCCCCCCCTCTCCCCAGTTAATCAAGCATAATATGCTCCTGCCGCACGTTGTGGATTGGTCTGCATAACGCATTTGAATTGTGTTGCTGCAGAGCAGATGCCTTAGCTTTTATACCGATGCAACATTCATTGTCTATATTAATATCTAATTTTAAAAGTTTTGAGAAAAAAATCCTGCATAGATGAATGAGTACAAAAAATATTGAGCACCAAAAATTCACACAATTTCCCCATCAGATATCTAATGGTCCACCCCTTACCACATATATCCTTGGGGTCCAATTTTGGATATTTTGGATATATTGGTTATTTGCATCTCCAAAAAGTCCTACTTTTGTCCTACTTTTCTACACATTTTCCTACTTTATTCCTACTTTTCCTAAAATTCTAGTCCTACTTTTATCCTACTTTTCTACACAAGGATGCCAAAAAGCCTGATAAGAGATGAACCTTACTGGACCTCTAGGGAGAACAGTTTGATAGAGCCGTCCAGTATAAATTAAGTTAGTTCAGTTTTCCTCCTGTAGTAACATAATAGAGCCACCAAAAACTATTCCTAGCCTTAGGCCTTAGTTTTTGAAGCTTGGCTGAATTGGGCAAACGCAACACGTGTAATCGACATTAAAAAGTCCTCATTTTCATCAAAACAGGAGCCACATTACGAAACTGTCCTATGTATTAAACAAGAGTATGATGATGACGTCGCCACAAAAGCGAACGAGTCTGAAGACATATCAGCTGAAGGTAGTATACTCAAAATTCCGCTAACCTTGCTATGTGTAATACTTCGGTCATTCTGAGACGAAATGTATAATATATCGTGATTAAACTGAAATACTGTTTTTTCTGTAGAAGGTTGCAACTCTCGTCCACGTTTTACCACCAACTGTTCAACTTCCAAACATGGCCGGATTAAGAGGGGAGGTGTGGGGAGGTGCGCACCTCCGCCGAGATCGTTTTGCACCTCTCCTGAGAATTTTTGCACCTCCCCTGAAACGTCATGCACCTCCCCTTGGGAAAATTTCACTAGATCAAAGTGAAAATTTGACATTTTTTGGTTGCTTAGGGTCTACACTTCGTAAGAAAGTTTTTCTGTAAAATTGAAACGGTGATAGATACCCTTTTAATGCAATATTTCGAAAGAAACTTTGTAGTAATTGTAACGAAGGGTAAAATTGGATGAGTTGCACAGTCATAATTCATTAATATACTGATACATATATGTACACTGTATGCATACGTCACGTCTTTACTTTGGCCCTTTCTAAGCCCTAACTTTCCATGGGGGTCGTGAGCTAAGCCGCTGTACCTCCCCTCAATGTTTTCCACCTCTCCTACTATTTCCACCACAATCCGGCCTTGCTTCCAAATGAGAGTTGATGAGAACCCCTGTTCTAAAACACGGCGTTTTACAGCGTCCTGATGAGAGCTTTTGCGGCTACGCGCGCTAATTATAACACAAGAGTTGAGAAAAATCCCATGCAAACTCTCGCTATATGAGGGACGGATCATGCCGTCTTAAGCCTTGGTCAATCGAGGATGAGAGTTGAGAAGCGAGACTACGGTTTGCATGAGAGTTCTCACAACTTTCATGGCCCGGTCAAACGAGAACAACAGTTGCATGAGAGTTGACTGGACATTGCCGCGCGCGAAGCGAAAACTCTGATCACTTCTCATTAAAATTTGAATCAGTTCAAAGTTGCGGAGAGTGGATGAGGGTTGGCGTTCAAACGCGAGCGGGAATTGCATTATCAAGTCTCATCGACTTTCAGCTGGTTGAAATTTTGATGAGCATTTTTGCTCGTTTAATTAACCGGTAATATCCAGTCAACTCTCATCAACTCTCATGCAACTCTTGTTCTCGTTTGCATGACCGGGACATGAGAGTCGACTTAGATCTCTCATACAAACTCTCACTTCTCAACTCTCATAAACTCTCATGCAAACTCTGGCTTCTCAACTCGCATGCGAACTCTCGCTTCTCAACTCTCATCAACTCTCATGCAACTCTTGTTCTCGTTTGTATGACCGGGACATGAGAGTTGACTTAGATCTCTCATGCAAACTCTCACTTCTCAACTCTCATCAACTCTCATGCAAACTCTAGCTTCTCAACTCTCACCAACTCTCATGCAAACTCTCGCTTCTCAACTCTCATCAACTCTCATGCAAACTCTCACTTCTCAACTCTCATCAACTCTCATGCAAACTCTCACTTCTCAACTCTCATCAACTCTCATGCAAACTCTAGCTTCTCAACTCTCATCAACTCTCATGCAAACTCTCACTTCTCAACTCTCATCAACTCTCATGCAAACTCTAGCTTCTCAACTCTCATCAACTCTCATGCAAACTCTAGCTTCTCAACTCTCATCAACTCTCATGCAAACTCTGGCTTCTCAACTCTCATGCGAACTCTCGCTTCTCGATTCTCATCAACTCTCATGCAAACTCTCACTTCTCAACTCTCATGCAACTCTTGTTCTCGTTTGCATGACCGGGACATGAGAGTTGACTTAGATCTCTCATGCAAACTCTCGCTTCTCAACTCTCATCAACTCTCATGCAAACTCTAGCTTCTCAACTCTCATCAATTCTCATGCAAACCGACTCTCGCTTCTCAATTCTCATCAACTCTCGTTTTCGTTTGACCAGGTCTTTATGATATTTTCGTTTGTTTTTAAAGGCAGAACATCAGATCACGAAGAGGTTGGAAATACAACGGAAAACGAGAGAGGAGAGTCGTACGAATACATGAATATGGGAATGAACCTGCCAGACTACGAGGAGCCGGATGTAAGCAAACGCGGAGTTGATCATTACCAAAAGTTGGTGAAAACCTGAACTTGTTGAAGGTCGCGCACATGGTGTGCACCACTGCACTTGAAGGGAAATGGCAATAAGAATTAATTTTGTCTCATTTGAAAGAACTTTTAAAACAATATAACTATGAAAACCCGATAATTTCTTGATAATTTCCGTCTACAATACCCTTCAAATTAGTTAACTTTCAGTTTTGGAGACTTTCAAAATATTAAATAAAAGGTTGCTGCAGGTTTATTACAATACACAATTCCCATTATAGACTAATTTTAAAACTAGGCGAGGAGATACTAATAAATCACCACAGCTAGAAAGAGCATACTAAAATTTGTAAAATTACAAAGTTTGGTTGTGAAATGTTGTAAAATGCGGAAAATATAGCCTTGCAACGTTCGCAAATTTTGTATACTTTAGTATTGCGTGCGGAAATCTCTACCACATTTGGGCCGAAATAAAATGGTAGCAATTTCCGCATGCAATACAAAAGTATACAAAATTTGCGAACTTTGCAAGGCTATATTTTCCGCATTTTACAACATTTCACAACCAAACTTCGCAAATTTACTCATTTTAATATGCTCTGCATGTCTGGCTGTGGTAATTTATTTATCTCTTTGCCTAGTTTTAAAATTAGTCTATAATGGAAATTGTCTATTTGTGCGTTTTTAAGGGGAAGTCAAATCTGAACCTCAATTTACAATCAATCATAGAAAATATTTACAAGAATAGAGGAGTAGGAATTTTCTAGAAATCATAAGGTTTTCATTTAAAGTTCCTAGGTTATGAATTAATACTGGTTAATAAAATATAGGAGAAAAAAAGATAGAGAAAGGTAAAATAAGGTTTTTATTTAAGATTCCTAGGTTATGAATTAAAACTGGTTAATAAAATAAATAAGAGAAAAAAAGATAGAGAAAGAATTCCTAGGTTATGAATTAAAACTGGTTCATAAAATAGAAAAGATAGAGAAAGGTATAAATAGCGATGAATATAAGTAACCGAATAAAAAAACTTCTTTTAAACATTTTAATATAAAAGTTAGCGATAAAAGGTTTACACGACGTTTCGATGTCTTCATAAATAAAAGCCAAGTAAAAACATGTCCTTATATATGCTCTAGGCTAGACAGTACGTCTATGCATGAGCACTCAACTCGAGGGATTGTTACCACGAAGCCAGCCCGCGCATATCTTCGAAGAATCGAAGTTATAGTAATGTTTGATTGGTGTAAGGGGAATTTATTTGGGATTCGGAAATTACTTAATTGTTGGAAATAGTTTATTAGAATATTGATAGAGAATATTGACAATCTCAGCATTAAGGTGTCAAGGGCAATAGGAGTCATTCGCCGAGATAAAAATATGTTAAACAAGATGCCTTTAATAAAAGTAATGTATAATTCTTTAGTCCTCCCGTGTTTTGATTATTGTTCCCTTGTTTGGAATAATTGTAGCCAAACACTAAAAACTAATGTTCAGCGGCTTCAAAATAGAGCAGCAAGAGTAATAACGGGAGATACGTACGGCATCTGCTTGCGCTGGGTATGGAAATTATGAAATACACACTCGAGAACATTTTCAACTTATCATATTACGGAGTGAACAATAACACAACATAACAAAACACTTGCAGAACTAGTATGGTTCGATGCTGAATCAGTACATAGTTCATAATTTCCAGTCTTAAATCCGTCTGACCGTGTAGCTCAGTTGGTATAGAGCGTCGATCTAGTAATATATATATATATATATATATATATATATATATATATATATATATATATATATATATATATATATATATATATATATATATATATATGTTGTTCAAAATGAAAAAAATTAAAAATAAAAAATTTTAAAAATTTAATGTGCTGCTGCTACTTAAGAGGCATTGTCTGCAAAAACGGTCCAGCAAATTCTGACTCAATTTTCGTTTGGCTTCATAATATATCTAAAACTTCCTTGATGTATCCTGATTCTTGTCCAAACAGTGATTTCTTGAAAATTGTCTTATTTTTTTGTTTACCCTCAAATATGTTTGACATGTTCAGGAATCCAAAATGGCACTCATGATTAGGACGGATATTTGCAATTTTTCTAACTTTGCACCGAAGTCGTGCGAGGGTCTACAGAACATGTAACCGTATTTTTTTATTGAACCATGTATGTTCTTTTCACAAAAGTAATAATAAGCCAAATATCTATTTGGAACTGGCGATTTTAGGGGCATTAATATTTGCCCCATTGCAGTCCGTCATTCATGATCGAAAACCTAATGGATTCTACAAGGCGTAGTAAAAAAGTGGATTGCTTCTGAAATTTAAATCCTATTAAAATATGTAGATGAATAACTAAGTTATTCATATCAAATCAGAAAAGTTTTGGTCAAACTCATTTTCCGCGAAAAAGGAAGGGTTTTTTATGAGGCAAATCGTCCCTTACGCATGGGCGGGTTAACATTTATGAGATCGTGTTCTGGCCACTATTTCTTGTTAATTCTCGACTTAGGTTTATTGGAGAACAATGCTGGTCCATTTAGTTAAAATTACACTTTGTATGACAGAATTTTGTAAACTGGAGATGGATATTTTTCCATACAAACGCGATTAGGAGGCAATACATCCCCGCTCGGTGGTCACCTGTCAATTAAAACTTCTGCAACAAATCAATAATGTTTGTGTTTAAAGAAGGCGTTTTATAACTTTTCCTTAATCTATTATTTATTAAATAAAATGTATTTTAGACCAATTCAGTCACCATTATTGGAAAGTAGTTTGTATTTGAAATATCTGAAATATATTTGTAGTTTTGGCTTTTGTTTATAATATGCATATTTCGGTGGTAATTAAAAGTGTTGTCGATTTCAATGTTTCTTTTAATATCCGGTTTCAATAACTGTTCAGTGTAAATAACACGGTGCTTTCGTTGCTTGGCATGCTTTTCCTTTATTCTCCAGACTCGTCCCCAGTCGTTATTTGAATTTCAATTTTATATATAGGGACGAATAGGTATATATCCATATATATATACAGATCAGTACCAAATGTGGACGCGCGCTTCTTTCGCCCTTGCCGTGAGCCTCTACGCGCCCACTTCTGGCCGCGCGCCCGCTCTTAAAGCGACTGGGGACGAGTCTGTTTATTCTCTTTAACCATGTCTGGCATGTGTTTTTTAAGTCAGAGAGACCAAAAACTATGTGGAGACTCTCGAGGGCTGAGTGAGATATTTCGGCTTTCTTCATGCAATGATAGTGTGCGGGGACACCTCGAAAGCTTGCACATTTCTGGAGAAATCGTTTCTGAAGTAGAACTGATTCTCGCTAGAGTCCGAATGTTATACGTAACAAAAGATGAAATAGAAAAAATGGAAATATGTCCTTATCACAGGCACAAGTTTGGAAGATTTTGGAGGCCATCTAAACGTTCGTGTTATCACCCAACCCATACAGGAGCTCGAAAATCCGTAAAGGGCTCTGATGTTATTGATAGCTTGCAAATGTGCAAAGATGTGCAAAAACAGTATGGGGTATTTCTACCTCATACACATAAGTGATTAATATTGATTTTGAGTTTCTAGATTAAGGGCCTGTATACGGAGTGTCAGTTGTATTCATGCTTGTCCAGATCTCCGCAAATCGATTGCATTATTATAATCCATATTCTTTATTGTTTTACAGGTATTTGCTCTAGCTGCATGCCGTAAGACTTACCGGGCGGTAAGAGTCACAAAACAAATGTAGGCTAGACAAAGAGAAAACGCCTGGTTAAGAAGCGAAAGCCGTTCTCCAGAAAGTCCAGAGGTATATTGACCCACTATGCGAGGTATAAATAAAACTACTTCAGAAACGATTTCTCCAGAAATGTGCAAGCTTTCGAGGTGTCGCCGCACACTATCATTGCATGAAGAAAGCCGAAATATCTCACTCAGCCCTCGAGAGTCTCCACATAGTTTTTGGTCTCTCTCACTTAAAAAACATTTGCCAGACATGGTTAAAGAGAATAAAGGAAAAGCATGCCAAGCAACGAAAGCACCGTGTTATTTACACTGAATCAGTTATTGAAACCGGATATTAAAAGAAACATTGAAATCGACAACACTTTTAATTACCACCGAAATATGCATATTATAAACAAAAGCCAAAACTACAAATATATTTCAGATATTTCAAATACAAACTACTTTCCAATAATGGTGACTGAATTGGTGCCTGGTAAATTATAGCAACAAACATAAAACTATAGAACAAATTTTACACATCTCAAGATGTCTTTTAAATGTTTTCGTTTTATTTCCAACTTTGAGTTCGTTTTATATACGAACCAAAGATCATTTAACAAATATAGAACATTTTCCGTGTTGATATACACTTATATCAACACGAGTGGAAATTTACCCTGGATTCCAGAGCCTTCAGTAAAATTTCCACTCGTGTTGATACCTCGCATAGTGGGTCAATACCTCTGGACTTTCTGGAGAACGGCTTTCGCTTCTTAACCAGGCGTTTTCCTCTTTATCTGGCCTACGTACACTTGTTTTGTGACTCTTACGGCATCCAGCTACAGCAAATACCTGTAAAACAATAAAGACTATGGATTATAATAATGCAATCGATTTGCGGAGATCTGGATACAACTGACACTCAGCTAGCCTGCATGGCAGGCGGTATTTCCTTTGCTTCCCTAATTTTCGCTGCCCGTAGAAATACCGCCTGCCATGCAGGCTAACACTCAGCCGAAAAACATTGTTACGTAAAACATTCCGGCTATTAGTAAAACACGGAGCACACGGAGCACACGAACTACGGAGCAGTAGAAAAACGAAAATCCTTTATAATAAAATACACTGTTTACCACAAATTTTTATTACAAATTTTTGTTCTTATTAATAAAGTTTTTTCGCGTTTTACACGTTGAGGAAGTAGAAAAATGGGGCTTTTACTGCACATATGATGCAAAACTGCCAAAAGCCATAGTATTTAAAATAGGATTGTGC